TGACGTTAGGAAAATATTGTTTATATTGAAAAAACACAAGGAGATGTAACCGGGTATTGTTTATTATTTGAAGAAGCAAAACATTTAATTAAAATATCCGACAGACGGATGATTCGTATAGAATAATCATTTAAATTACCCTCTTAAAAATGAAACCAGAAACTTTAGTAAAAAGAATAATTGAAGCTATCGAAACGGAATCACCAACTACAATAATATACAATGGTAAAAAGATTAAAATATCTAAAAAACAATATTGATAAATATAAACATTGTAAAGTCCGTGATGATATAGATTTGGAAAGAATTGAGTGTAAAGGAAGGTGGATTTTTACCTTTCCTACCTTTGATATTTGCTGGCTTGGCCGCAGCAGGGGCGACAGCTGGTGGGGCGACTGGGATAACGCAAGCCATCAACGCCAAGAAAGCAGCTGATGCTGAAAAAAGTGAAAAACGTAGACATAATATGGAAATTGAAAAAAATAGCTCACGGTTCGGTAGTAGCAGATATATTAGGGACAGTTAAAGAATTTGGAAATCGATTTAGTGAAGAAACCAAGAAAACTGTTAGATAGGGATTAAGTAATCTAATAGATAAAATCGACACCGGAGAATTGAAGGTCAAACATAAGGGGGATGCCATAGTATTTAAAAACAAACGTTCTGGAGAGGGAATCTTTCTTTCAAAGGAGTGATTTTTGGTACGAAAATGTAATAAAAAATAGGAAAGAAATTTAATCATTCAGAAATATTTCCAAGTGACCCAATGCTTATGTGTATTTGTGGAAGCTCAGGTTCTGGGAAAACATATTTGACCTTTAACATGTTGACAACACCAAAACTTTTAGATTTCGATTCATTATATATCTACACAACAACACCAGAGCAATCGTATTATCAATTCCTCAAAGCTTTAGAATATATACCAAAGAAAGACGTTCAAGACATATTTAAATATTATGAAGACAACGATGAGATAGAAATAAAAGATATCTTAGATACATATATAAAAGAAAAGAATCCACCTTTCAATCCAACGGACATAAAGGTTTTTCTTACGAAAAATGTTAATGATTTAAATTTGTCTAAAATTGATAGTGAGCGAAAGAACTTAATAGTGTTTGACGAATGTGTAGCACAAAGAAATCAATGTGTTCAACAAGAATTCTTCACGAAGACATCACAACTGTCACTGCATATACCAATCCCAATCTTTCTACGGTATGTATGCAATGTTCATTCGAAAAAATGCAAATTGTTTTTTATTATTCGAATTGAACGACAAAGATTTATCTCAAATTATTCAGTCAATTAATCACAGAATGGATAGAGATACAATCAAAAAGGATTGTAAAGCACAATGGAGAAACCTAGATGGTCATGGATATGTATTCGTTAATACTAGAAAACCTGCAGGTGAAAGAGTTATGACAGACATGTTAATTTTATTTATTTAAAAATGGGTGATTGGAATAATATTATAAAAAGAAATAGACACTATATCAAAGCTAATTATAAAATAAAGACCCAAGTTGAAAATAACAGATTACAACAACTTGGATTAACAGAAAATCTACAAACTCTATTTCAACCAATATTAAAAAGTCAAGAAGATATTAAAAAGAGACTCGAGTCTCCTATAGAACCCACACTTCATATAGAACCTCATCACCCCGAACCGATTGAATATGATGGTATTATAATTTGACCTTAGATGATATAAGACGTTATTTTTCAAATCCAAAGCCACATTTACCAAAGAGCATTTCACCAATCGTTGATGAAGAGGGGTTATTGTTTAATGGATTTAGAATAAGATTTAGTGGAAATTCACCAATATTCAAAATCGATACAAAACAATTTATATTTATATTAACAGAAGGATTATTAGATTTAATGAATGGTGGGGATGATTTTGCTAATGCCGATTACAAGGATTTTGTAGATTACTCAAAATTTCTACATTTTATAAGAAAAACGGGACCCGAAACAAAAAGATTAAAAGAAGTTGATCAATATATAAGAGTTATTAATCAAGATGATGAACATGCTGAAGACAATCCAATCATACAAGATATAGACGAATTCGAAGATATTGTATCTGAACATGAAATAGACGAATTGAAAGAGGAGATAGCCAGAGAAAACAGTGGACAAGGTATAACGTTTTTATCCGACAACAACGAGGAACTACTTAATAGATTAGAAATAATATTAGCAGCAATGAAAGAAGGTCATCGTTCAGACAGACAATATAATGAAGTAAATTGCATATTAAAAAGATTCATAGAGAAAGGTATTATAGATAAAAATGATTATAAAAACGTAATTGATAAGATTATCCAATAAAAATAGTCATCGAAAAAATGCCATATAAAGAACAACTATTCGTTATCACCTCAAATAAATCAGACATTAAATTATCTCTAGATTATGAGTACGAACTCGATCGCAATGAAGAATATGAATTGGGATTTAAATATTTCTCTTGGGACGAAAATAATAACCAAATGAAAATATCAACAGATAACGAGCTACATTCAAAACCATAAGTTTATTACCAGGAAGCTATGAATACGTAGCCATAAACGAATATCTATCTGAATATGGGGGAAGTGCAAATGGTAAAAACAATATTGAATTCGAAGGTAATTTGAATCTGAACAAAATAAAATTGATATTGAGAAATAAGAGTCAAGTTGATTTCAACGTAGAAAATTCTTTGAATACTTTATTAGGATTTGATAAGCAAATATACACACAATCCACTTTAGCGCCGCATAAAGCTAATATCGAGAATGATATTGAAGTGATAAATATACATTGTAATTTAATAAACGGTGAAATTTTCAATAAACACAAACGTCAGATTATTTACAGTATTCCAACATTCACTGTACCGATTGGATATAGAATTATAGAGAAACCATTTCAAACAACATATTTACCACTTAATTCGTTCATGATTAAAAATATAAATCTGGAAATCAAAGATGGTAAAAATTGGTTTATTGATTTTGGTAACGAAGAAAGTGTTATTCAACTTCATTTAAAACAAAAGAACTAAATTTATTGAGTAATTAATCACTCTTCATTCTCTTCTTGATTATATAGGTAATCTAAATCATCAAATTCATAGTTTTCATCAAAACTATACTCTTCCTTATCATTATAAGGAAACATAATTCCTTCACTGTTTGGTGGTTTTCTCTTTACAAGATTCAAATAACTTCTAAAAACTTTCATTTGTTAATCATCATCCTTTGGCATAACTACTCCATTCGTGAAACTCCTTTTCCATCTTTTATTAAATTCATTCGACACATCATGTCCACTAGCCAACTGAATATAATCTTGTTTTATTATTAGAATAACCCTTAAACGTTTCCTTTTCTTTTAAAACACCATCAGAAGTTAGAATGATATTATATTTGACTTTTGGCGCTAAATATAAACCAAATATGATATCACCTTTATCGCCTTTACAATATTCATTTTCAGATACCAACCCAGCTCGATTTAATTCATCCCAATTTCTAGATGAAATGTATAAACTATCAGTGTCGGTATAGAATATTTCAGGTTTATAAAATCCATTTATTACATGAATGAAATTATTCATTATTTTTTTACTGTGAGATAAAACGAATGATCCCAAATGACTAGGTGTTAGTCCTGTAGATTTAGTTGACTGATCTTCAGCAGTTATCTCTATTTCTTCAATTTCTGTCTCAACGAAATATTGAGTATCATTTATTTTTTCATAGTATTAACATGTGAGTCTAAGTTAGCCCGAAAAGTTACTTCATTCCACAAATAATTTCTCGTGTTTCTATCCTTCTGAATAGATTTACCATACAAGGAATTGCCTAATAATTTCATGCAATTACTACCCACAATATTACCTTCTCGTTTATATTTATTTCTTAGATCTCTCAAAATTAAAATATAATCTCTATATGGTGGAGTTTTAAAATTTTCTTCGTATACTATACCATCTAATATTCTAATAATATCTCCACCGGCTTTAACAATTTCTTGAATATCGACCGATGTTAAAACATCTGAACAGAAACCATTTCTAAACCTGATTTTACTCCCAGTTTCCTTTTTTCCTTCTTTATTCGTGAAAGTGATATTATCTTTAGCTGGTATTGGTTGGAAGAACATGTTATAGGGATATTTAAACCACACTGTTAAAATAGCTGTTCTAGGTCTAAATTTCTGTTCATTGAAGAGTTTTAAAAATTTTCTTTCTTCTTCTGGTAGAAACGGTCTAGCACTTTCTGCTTTTGGATATTCACTGTCTAAATCCGACATTGCTGAAGCGTACAAACCATTAGCATCAAATTCCATTAGTTTTGTACATATTATTTTTTTAAGTTTTGAATTAACTTCTGTTTTGTCTTTTGTGCTCGCGCTGTATTCTTTGAATAGATTAATTATGTTATCTCTTCTTGAATTATCACTTTGTGTTTCACTTTGTGAATTATCACTTTGTGAAATACTTTCAGTTTCACTTGGTGTTTTACTTTGTGAATTATCACTTAGTGAAATACTTTCACGTTCACTTGGTGTTTCACTTTGTGAAATAAATTCCTTTAATACATTACAAATTTAATCCATTTGGTTCGTTTCAAATATTTTTCTATTTGCCGAAACTCTTCCTCCTTTAATAGATCGTCTGATATAATGTTTTATAAAAGGATTAGTGTGCGAATAAACTTTTTCTATAGTTTCTTTTTCTGTATGTTTCGGAACCATTCTAGTAGTTTCATACCATTCTTCTTCAACCATTTCTTTATCGTAATGATACAAATAATACCAACCCTTAAAAGATAATTGGACATATTTTGGTTTACAACTTCTTATGTGACTTGCTTATTTTTTTTATCAAACAACTTCCAAGACATAACGTATCTCATTTAGCGCAAGGTTCCCATTCGTGTCTTAAAGATTCCCAGTTATCTTTGGTGTATTTTGCAATATCGATATCAGTGATCTTTCTCAAATTCATTGGTAGATTAGATGAATTTCCCCATGCCGCCAAACTAGATGTTTCATGTTGATAGGAACATGTGAAATTAATATGTTGTAAATAATTATTATTACTTGTTATTTCTTTCTGTCTTTTCCATTTTTTCTGTAAATCTTCATATGTGAATGGATTAGATTAAGGTAAAGATAGAATTCCTCTGGGTGTTTTTAAAGGGCATTGTGTTAGTTTTTTTATATTTTTAAGCACGATCCAGTTATCAATATTGCTACCGTTATGAGAAATTAATATCAATTTAATTTTAATTAATTAGGGATTGACCTAAATATTTCAACATTTGATCTATACAATCTGTACCTACAAATATTTCTACTATATTCATTAGTTTATCATAAAATTCCTCTGGAACATTATCTGTAGGATTTAAATCTGGAAAGAGATTATTTATTCCGTATAACATTTTTCTTAGTTTTTCTAAATTAATTAACGTACACGCATAAGGAATTGCTTTACGCTTTTCACTTTCTGAATACGTTTCACAATCCCAAGCAAATAACCCAGCATCATTTATACTTTAAAACACATTTAGTTTCAGAGGTGAAACCTGTGTTACTGCGTTATCGTCTCTACACGTTTTCCAAACTTGTTCATAATTATCTTCTATTTCTTTAATACCCAAACTTATTTTTATTTCTTCTTATAAGACAGAAATGTGAGTTGTGTAAATATAAAACCCAATCTAATTCCTCTTTTACAATTGTGGGGCGCAAATTTCTATTATTATGAGTATAAATTTGAAATGTAATATCACATTTCTTATTGAATTCATTAATTCTAGCAGATGTCATCACTCCTTTTCTATTTGCTTTTGAGAAACTATTGATGAAATTTTGAAATTCATTTCAAAATCTATGTTTAAAACATAATTTACACATTTGATAAAACAGTTACCATCTGTTGGTATGTAACAATTTTCACCTATATATTCATTTATTTTTTCGAGTAGTTCAGTTCCTATTCCAACTTTTGATCTTTTCATTCTTTAAAATTGTCTTTAAGTAAAAAGATACTTCCTGTAAAGTACCAATCAGAAGGGTCAGATTTTTCTTCCATATTTCTAAATATAGTATGAAAAGTTTTGGCATTAAAACCAAGAAGTTTCATAAATTGTTTGTGCTTTCCATCTTGGAAGGTCCTGTACTCGAAGCTTTGATTGGTGTTTACTAGCTGGCGATTTTGTTTTGATTATTCTCATCTGTGTAGTATTTATTGGTGTAGATATAATGAAACATAATAGACGCGCGGAACACCGGTTGTTTGAATGGGACACACTTTTATGACTCAGATCCTGCACCTTCCTCCACTTTAAGACTCGGTATCACTGTATCAGATAGAGAGGTCTAGATTAATAGGAATATGTAATGTCAATTTTATATTTATAAGGTCTTGCATTGCAATAATGTTAGCCTATCAGCTAATAAACACTACGATGTATTCTCAAGGATCATGTTAACTTGTTATTGTAGAGAAAAACAATGGTTCTAGTAAAATTGGACATCGGTGTGTGGTGGCCAGGCGTATGCCTGAAGATTGGTAAAGATGCGCGTGGTTTTATTAAATTTCATGGAGAAGAAGAGGTGTAAGTACTTAAAAATGTTTGAACTTTCAATAATGTAGCCTTTTAGCACTATGAGTAGAAATATCAAGAACAGCAGGGTAATGTCTTTGCTAGTTTTGAATATCATGGTGCCTGCTTCATTACAGCTTCTCAGTAATATATGTGAACAAGTTGTCTTCTGATTTGTAGACGAATTTACTCCCTTTAAATAGACGAGTTGATTGAACTCTACTCTACTTCTAAGCATTCTTGAAATTTTCTCTGCTATGAGTGTCTGCAGACATGAGTTATATACATTTTAGCTTTGCTATGAAAGTAATGTAATTTTATTTAAATCACTAGTCATGAAGTTCTATCAAAAAAGATGAGGGGATTTACAGATGATCAGGACATTATAAAAAAAATCACGAGGTATTTTTTCAGGTCTTTTCAAATAAAATTGAGTTATTTCACCTGTATTGAAACCAGGTGTTCCACCAGGTTTCATTTATTTTATTTTTATTTAATCAAAAGACATTTTTTGTACGTTCCTTGTTTCACTTATGTTTGATTATTTTAATATTATTAAAACAAATTTTTTGCCATTAATCAAAAAATGTCCTTATTTTGTTCTTGTTTTATATTTTTGTGTTTTCAGTTTTAAGAATGAAAATTTTACTTCAAGATGTCAAAATAAATGATATAGATAACATAAATTCATTGATTACATTTTTAAATCAATGATTGTCCAAATGATACCAAATTTGGAATAATTTTACAAACACAAAAACAGTCTTCATTAACTGATCATTGCGACCTCCAATTTGAACTGCTTTTGTATATATTATATTCATTTATTTCTAGAAAAAAGATATGCTAAAATAAAAATAGTAGAAGATTTTGATATTGACATGAAATATGCCATAGCAAAGAGACAGGGTAAGAACTCTTAATACTTATTATAATGGAAAATCTGACTTTTTAAAAGTAGGTTTAGAGAATTAGTTGCTCGAATTGAAACTTTTAGCTGCTTGCCAGTACTGAACAACTAGTACACTCTATTTTGGATCACTAATTTCAAAACAAATTTAGGGATGATCAAGTTGATACACTAGAGTAAATATCATATTCAAGTCATAATGTTGCTACTTAAACGACTATCTCCATAATTATATTCTTTTATTGTTATTATTCTAGAGCTGTTAGCTAACCAAAATGATGAATGTGATTGAGACAGATGGGGAGGATATAAGTGATGTGACACAGATGGTAAAAGTAGTATAGGACATTTCAATTTGGTCGCACGGGGATTCCCCATTCCATTTCATTTCATGGGGAAAGTGCGACCAATTGAAAGGTCCCAAAAAAAACCTAAACACCCTACATTTCATAATTTCTTACACCTATACACCCTACATTTAATAAAATCTTACACCTATACACCCGACATTTCATAAATTCTTACACCATAAACACCTTCAATCAATTCCTACATTCCATCAAAAAAGCATATTAAAAATACCCTTATATAAAATAACATCCGGTTTTAAAATAGCCTCGTTTTAAATAATGTTATTTTTAGTCTAGAAGGGAGATAACTTTTTTTTCTACTCAATTTTTAAACCTTAAAAATGGCAAATAAAATATTAGATCCAATCTTTAGATTATACGATCCGATTCGTTATTCGTTTAACAAGAAAAAAGAGGATTATATTATCATCTCACCGACTGTTGGTTCTAAATTCCAATTGAATGATGGTGGTAGAATTACCTTCGAAATAAATTCATTATAGAATTGGTTGCTTCTTTCCGATGCTTATTTCAGATGTGATTTCAAAATTAAAGATGGAACTCCCAATGAAAATCGTGTTCCACAAACAAATACAACGTTAGAAACAAGTTCTTTCCATCTTTATTTAGCGAGATGGTTTTGGAAGCTGGTTCAAATCCGATAAAAACCATTAAACACCTTGGGGAATTCGACACAATGTTGAAAACAGTTTTATATCCTAAAGATTTCGATTCAGTCTCAGGTTGGATACCCGATGTTGGCGACGGAAGTGTTTTAAAAGAACTGGGAAGAAATCTTGCAAATGATGCTGATTTAGCTAGAGTGAGAGTTGTTGCTCGAAACACAATAGAAAGAGTAGCACGAGCAGCTAATCATGGATTCGAAAAACGAGTACTTCAGTATAATAATGTTGTTGAGAATAAGAGGTGGGGTAATTACGTAAATTGGAAATTATATCCTTTATTCGGTCTGTTGGAACACAGAAAGGTTTCCATAGGATTACCATATAAAATTCATCTACAAAGAGAAATCAACGATGATAAGACATTCTTTGAAGAGAATGCTTCAGATGCAAAATTAGAAATAACGAATCTCCAACTTTTCATACCCGTAATAACACCATCAATTGAAGTAGAAACGAGAATATTCAACTCATTAATTAAAGATATTGAAATAGCTTTTCTTCATCGTAATACGGTAGGTAGCATGACTTTAACTGGAGAATCCACCACCTGGCCAATCACTAACACTATTAAACCAGCGAGATATTTAATGGTTGGTTTCAAGAACTTACCAGACTCTCAGACGAATAACAATAATGTCTTCAGAGTGGCAATGAACCAAACTCAAGATCCTATAATCCATAAAGTTCAAGTAAGATCAAACAACGATAATTATCCTAACCAACTTTTAACAATTAATCCAACCACAAAGGATTATAATGAATATTATAGAAACTATAAAAATATATGTGAATTATTTGGAAATCCACCTCAGTTTGAATATGTAGACTTTGCACTTAATTATCCAATCTTCTGTTTTGATCTATCAGCTCATCAAGAAGATCTTTTCAAAACAGGGGTGAATATAAATATTCATATTGAAAAAACACAAGGAGATGTAACCGGTTATTGTTTACTACTCGAAGAAGCAAACATTTAATTAAAATAGCAGATAGAAGAATGATAAGAATTGAGTGATATGATGATATGGGACACATGGGTCGTGAAAGAACCATAGCATTGATGCGTGATAGATTTTATTGGCCAGGTATGACTAGCCATATGGAGAGATGGATCAAATAGATGCTTACGTCGAAAATCACCATTGAATATCAGAGTTCCACTAGTAAATATACAGACTACATTCCCTCTGGAAGTGGTAGCTATTGATTTTCTTACACTAGAACCATCTAAAGGTAATTATCAGTATATTTTAGTGATAAATGATCTGTTTACAAAATATGCTGTAGCAGTACCAACGAGAAACATGACGGCACATACTACTGCAGATGCATTCTTTAATAATTTTGTAGTTCATTATGGTCTTCCTGCTAGGATACATTCAGATCGAGGTGCAAATTTTGAAAGTAGTATAATTAAGGAATTGTGTGGTTTAACTGCAATAGCAAATTCCAAAACGACGCCATATCACCCGATGGGTAATGGACAATGTGAGCGTATGAATCGCACACTTTTAGATATGTTGGGAACGCTTCCCGTTGATAAAAAGAGAAATTGGAAATCTCAAGTGGCACCGTTGATTCATGCTTATAATTGCACAAAGCATGAGACAACTGGATTTTCGCCGTATTATTTAATGTTTGGGCGTCATCCAAGGTTAGCAGTTGACCTTGCATTTGGGTTAAAAACTGACGAATCGTTTATGTCTTTACATGCCTATACTAAAGCTTTAAAGGAACGATTAAAGCAATCTTATGAGTTGACAATTTCTGCGTCGCAGAAAAGCAAAGAGAAACAGAAGAGAAATTATGATCAAAAGGTTCGATGTGCCAAACTGGAAATTGGTGATTCCGTATTGGTCCGGAAGTTGGCTTTCGAAGGTAAGCATAAAATAGCTGATCGATGGGAAAGCGAAAGGTATGTTGTTGAAGATCAGCCTAACGTTGATATACCGGTTTTTGTTGTTCGTCCGGACGATGGTAAGCGTCGAACATTACATCGCAACCATTTATTACCCGTTAATTATATTGATTCAGATGTTTCTTTAGCTACTTTACCAATACCCAAACCAAGGAAAATCATGTCAGTTATTGTTCCTGAAGCTGTAGTTGAAAGTGAAAGTTCCGATGAAGAAGTATTTATAGATTATCCTTACCGTTCAGAAGAGATGGTTACACATTCTGATTCTAGCCAAGAGGCTAATTCGCCAGGAGGGGGTGAGAAGAGATCGTCATTCGCGGTGGGGGGAAGTATGTAACAGTATGTGTTTTGTACCATGTAACATTGAGTACATGTTGTTAGAAACACGTTCTGTAATATTAATGCTTAGTATGCGGTTATAGGTTATAAAAAATACATTGGTAAGCTATTTCTGGTTTTGCTATAGTTGGTTTATATAATTTAGTAATTGTTGTAATTATGTTACGTTCGTTATTTTAGTTTTCTGGGATTATATCGACTTACATCATAGTTTTGAAATTTAGTTGATGTGCACAGAAAAGACTTGTGTCTAAATATAAAATAATTTGTGTTTAATTGTATATCGGTTAGTAAGTAATTTGTTTGTACTGTCTAACGACGTTGTATATCACATGGTGTAATTATTTGTTCGATGGTTGGTTTTTAATAAGCTCGTGCATTGTTCTGTTGGTTGGATCTGGATACCTGCTGGTATAAAGCTTGAATTGGCAACAGTGGCCCAGTACCCACATGTGAGAAAGTTGGAGTGCGCTGCTAACTTCTGTGGTCCTATTCCACAAACTGGTAACTATATTTTATTCTTTAGATCGTATGTTAATGTGACTTCTACTAATTGTCTTAGTCGAAGTAGATGAGGCAATGTTTGTCACTCATTCTAATCGCAGGCTATGGATAATATTTATGGATAATATTTATAGATAATATTTAGATGTACTTTACGCCGAAGATATTGATTTGATAAACAGAACCTATTGTCATTTCAGGGCTATTTATTTTTACTTTAGCACTAGTCCTTAGACACCTTTTTTACTAATGGTATGATGGTGTAGATCTAATTAGTAATGGCGGAATGCATTGGAAGCCTCCGTATTGGTATTTAGCACATATCCACATATCCGCGACTATCCGACTTTCATGTGGTGTGTTTCTTAGATGTAATGCTGTGTGTAATAAATGTATGAAACTGAAATCTGTAATTCCATCCTTCGACCCAAATACGTGGCGAGTCCGAGATTCCATCTTGCATAGGGGCGTGTAGCTGCGACATTATCTATTCCTCAAAGCTTTAGAATATTTACCAAAGAAAGATGTTCAAGACGTATTTCAATATTACGAAGAAAACGAAGAAGAAGTGGAAAAATAAGATATCATAGAAAACTTCATTAAAGCAAAGAATCCATCTTTCAATCTAAAGGATATAAAAGTTTTTCTTACGAAAAATGTTAATGATATAGACTTGTCTAATATTGATAGCAATCGAAAGAACTTAATATTGTTTGACGACTGCTTAGCGCAAAGAAATCAAACTGTTCAACAAGAATTCTTCACGAAAGGAAGACATCACAATTGTCACTGCATATACCAATCCCAATCTTTTTACGGTATGGATTCTATGTTCATTAGAAGAACTGCAAATTGTTTTTTTATTATTTGAATTAAACGATAAAGATATATCTCAAATCATTCAGTCGATAAATCACGGAATGGAAAATGTTAATTTTATTTTTTTTAAAATGAGTAGCGATTGGAATAATATTTTAAAACGAAATAAAGAATATATCAAAGCTAAGAATAAAATAAAGACCCAAGTTGAAAAAAAACAAATTACAACAACTTGGATTAACAGAAAATCTACAAACTCTATTTCAACCAATATTAAAATATCAAAAAGGATATTAAAAAGAAATTAGCTTTAGAATATAGACCTCCTGAAGGAAGGACATCGATGACACAGACAATATAATGAAGTAAAATGTATACTAAAAAGATGTGATAAATATACATTACAATTTAATAAACGGTGGATTTTTCAATAAATACAAACGTCAGATTATTTACTCTTCCAACATTAACTGTACCGATAGGATATAGAATTATAGAGAAACCATTTCAAACGACGTATTTACCACTTAATTCCTTTATGATTAAAAATATAAATCTGGAAATCAAAGATGGTAAAAATAGGTTTATAGATTTTGGTAACGAGGAAATTGTTATTCAACTTCATTTAAAACAAAAAAATTAACACTCTTCATTCTCTTCTTGAATAGTAAGGTAATCGAAATCATCAAATTCGTAGTTTTCATCCAAACTCAAGTCATCTTTATCACTATAAGGATACATGATTCCTTCATCGTCCGGTGCTTTTCTCTTAACGAGATTCAGATAACTTCTGAAACTTTCTTTTGTTTATCATCATCCTTTGGATAACTACTCCATTGGTGAAACGTTTTTCCCATGGTTTCTTAAATTCATTCGTCACATCATGTCCACTAGCTAATC